CCCCCCCCCCCCGCTTCTGAGAACCTATAATCTAGGGATTGGAGGTATAACCTGTTCAATAGCTGAAACCGTCAGACTTCAGTCTAGAAATAAGGTGAATGTTTTTAACATGGGCATAAAGGATCATTTGGATTCCTCAAGTCACAACTGGATGTCTTGCTGAAACCGATACTCTCGTTCAGCTATAAGTGCCTGCTCCTGAGGGATCCATGAGTGTGATATATGGCCTGTGTTGTGTAGATGGTCACGCTAAGTGATCAAAGAGTCCCTTTGGCTTTAAAATCAATGAATTTATTTCTTTTCTGTTTAAACTGTTGTATTATATCAATGTATTTGCTCTTTTTCACTCTTTGTATCTCATATTTTTACCAGCTGTGGCTTGGAAGATTAAAAATGATTTTTCTTTATTGTTTCAGATTGATGTACAGTTATACATTATGTCCTTTCTCTCACCCCAAGACCTGTGCCACTTGGGAAGTACAAACCAATATTGGAGGCTAGCTGTACGAGATCCATTGCTATGGAGATATTATCTCTTGAGGGATCTCCCATCTTGGTCTTCTGTTGACTGGAAGTCACTCCCAGATGTGGAAATCTTTAATAGAGCCTTTTCTGAGATAAATGATAATATACTCTATGACTACATGGCAATGTAAGTGTCATAGTTTCAATGAATGTGTCTTAATACCATAAAACTAAATTACTCCGATTTTATAACCATGCAAATAAAACTCTGCTAAGCCCCAAGAATACATTGCTTGAATCTTGAAATGGTTTTATGGATCAAATCTAATTTTTGTTTTTGAAAGTTAGCGTCCACATTCTAAGCTAGTGTATCTAAGCATGTATATTTTACATCCCTGTTCATTATAAAATGTCTCAAAGAAGCTTGTGAATCTTGCATATAAAATACAACACAAATGGTGTCCCCCTAACAGTGCTACCCAGTAAACGTTGAGGGAGGAGAAGACTGGCGCGAACCACTGCTTTTACCAAAAGTACTATGGGTTCCTTAACATAGGGTAAATGTAACTTTAGTTTTTTGCAATTTATTGTACTTAACCCAAGTACAATAAATTGTATGGCTTTCTGGCCATACATAGCCAAAAACTACTTGAAAAGTTTATTAATATTATAAAGTTGGGTACTCAAAAATGGGGCATTAGGCTTTGCTTTACTTTTAAAATGTTATTTAATTTTATTTATTCAATGTCCTTTTCTAACTTACTGCATCCAGGCTCTGAGTTGAGTAACAAATTAGTTATTTCTCCTGGCTGCTTTTGTGGAGGTTTGCCCACAGACTCTAGATTCTTCACAAACATAAATTAATTTTCACAATATCTCTTGTGTGTGACAATATCCTCATTCCGGAGTTAGTGAATGAAGCCCTAAAGTGGCATTTAATCTGGTATGGCTGATTTAAGGCACCTAGTGACCAAGGTTTTCAGAGGATTTAGCATTTATGTGTTAAAATGAGCGATACAGTTGGGTACAGAAGAGCATTCAATTAATGACAACCCATAAAAAATGAAGTGCAAGTGATTTGTGTAGCATATGGAAGACCTGTGGCAGAGGCAAGGATAGAATCCAGTTCTGCAGGGTGTCATGGTAGCTGCTTTTGCCACAAGATGATTAATCAGTTCCTGCAATCCTCTGATTTACTATACAGTACTTCCAGTTTCTGCAGCAAATGAAGTTTGTTGCCTGATGAGCTCCAGTCTCCTTTACAGCATTGGTTGATCTCCAGAACAGGTCCATCCTATGGGCTGAATGAGGCAGGTGTTATACAGAAAAGTATCATGTTTTTTATGCAGTTAGTATCATAATGAATATGCAAAGGCACTCAGTTTACTTAACCTTAATTCTGATATATAACTTGGTTGCAACCTTATTGTTTTAACCTTTTTTTTAGATGTATTTTTCTAACTGTTAATATAAAAAAAAGTTGAAAAAAAATTCCAGCACATAGGTATGTGTTAATTCCAAACATGGCATCATCCAGGTCCGGATCTTTAGCATAGACCAGTAGACTAACCATTGGCAGTAGCAAGTGTTAATTCAACAGATGGATCAGAGACTAGAGGGAAGTGAGATGTGTGGTTTGTCTGTGGGTTTTGCAGCTATGTAATAAAAACAGGAATATGGAGAATGAAAAATGCAAGATTTGGTTTTAGGTTCTGATGGGGATTGTGGTCTAACATGCAAAAGCCTTTCTTCTCCTTTACTCTCAGCCAGCTCCTGGGCCCAGCCCTTTTTCCCTTCTGCTTTTATATTCCATCTCTTCTCAAATCTGGATCTACTGATTCCTTTACTCCTACTGCTCTGCACCCTCTCCACTCTACCCCTCCAGGGCCCTACATTCCCAGTTCTCCTGAATCACTACCCAGATCCTTAAGCACCAACATTTCTTACTTGAATGAGGCTTCTTATTCTCTTGCTAGGTAAGCACTGGCTTTTTAACTGCTCTCAGACACTACTGACTTGTGCTTGAGTTAACCAGCAGATGTCACCATTTGATTAATATCTCTTCTGTATTTTGTGTTTAATTTCTAGTTCCATCTATTTTACACAGATACAGAAAGAGCTGTCAGCAGAAGAGGAGAAGTCTGAAATCAAACCGCCCCAAGTATAGAGCTGTGACTTCCTTTTTGCAGTCACTCGTCACACAGGCAGAGCCTCGCTTTGCCATGTTTGGACCAGGTTTAGAGGAGTTGGATGAATCCTTGGTGGTAAAGATGATGACTTGCCCAGAGACGTTGCTAATAGCAGATTTGCCTCTAAGACAAATTCACGGTAATGCTGTTTTTCTTCAAAACCTTTCCTACAAAAGTAAAGATGTGTTTGGGGTCTCTTTTATAGCCCTCCTTAAAATTAAATGCATTTGTGTTAAACCAGAATTGCTTTTTCTCTTTGACTTCTTGGAGGAATTAAATGAGTGGCATGTGCGCACGACACTTGAAGCAAGCTAAATACTTTTGTAGTGCTTTAATGGTGTTGGTGTTTGCATGCCTTGGCAGTGTATTGTGCGTTAATTTCAGCCATTGTAGGAAATTCAGCATTGTAATGTGCCTTAAATGACTTGGGGCGCAGCAAACTAAAACTCCTCTGAGGTGTTTTAGTTTGTTGCCCTATAGCTGCGGAACGAAGCATGGGGCTCTGTGCAGCTCACAGTCTCTGCAGGGACAGAAAAAAAAGTAGTGAGCCTGATTCCACCCCTGCACTGGAACCTACCTGCCTGAGCTGCGTGGGGACCCAGTGCTTCCCGCTGTGGTGCCCCCTGGGACTGCCCGAGGTGGGTGCCTGCAGGCGGGTGCCACTAGGGCAGGGGGGCTTGCCGCTGCCGTGAAGGGAAGCACGAACCCCCCACCCTGCAGCCCAGGGACCACTTTGCCTGCTGGCAGCTCGCCCTCCCCTGACTGCCGCCAGAGAGGCAGGCAAGTCAGTATGTGCACGACACACAGGTTTAATCAGCCCTGAATTGAAGCGGTGTTTTTAAAAACCCACCACTTCAATTTAGGGCCCCCGTTTTGTCTACACATGCACAAGGATGCCAGATTATGGATCAGTCTGGAGAATAGTTAGGTGATTGACTACATGGCTTTTAAACCAAAAATGTAGGAGTGCAAAAAAAAAAAATTACATGGATGAAGGACCTGATTTTCTGCTGTACTGTGCTACATAAAACTACAGGAGATATAAGATTAACCTTAAAAGAGCAATGCCTGAAGAGCGATTCAATGATTAATAAACAGGACAAAAATTCACAAGCAGTTGCTTTAAACATCTTTCATTTCTCTTTATTCCAAATCAGAATAGTTAAAAAACTAGGCGACTGTGGCATAGATGCCTACACAGTCAGATGGATTGCAGATTGGCTGAGGGGTCGCACTCAGAGGGTGGTGATGG